CCTGGAAATAAATGCATAAAGCATTTAAAATTTGTACTTTAAAATTTGATGCTTGTGGCATGGTTTGAAGATGCCACAAATTATCTACCAAACACTGTTGTTTTTCTGTTAAAATGATTCCAGTCATAGGCCGGAATTTTTTGGTCATGTCAAAACATTTTTGGAGTGCAAGAGTTCCAAAAGATTCATACTGTAAAGTCTGTGTTTTTACTGTTGGTTTGGGTGGCCTTATACGAGGTGATTGTGTAAAATGTAATGGTGAAGAGGTTTGCAGCTGTGTAAACTATAGGGGCGAAATGTCTTCAAGACTGGCTATGTCTTGAGAATCCTGTAGATAACTGTGTAAATCTGTCTGTGAAAGTTGTGCCTTATGTGCTTCGTTTATGGCTGCATGCATAAGTTTATCTGTAGAAGTTGTCTGTTTCTCTTCATCAGAAGAAATACTCATTGATGATAAGCTTTTCTTTGGCTGTATAGGCTGTATAACCTTTCATTTTCCTTTGTCTTGTTTATCCATCTGCAAAAATTAACATGTATGTCTATTTATATATCTTGTATATACTTTTTTCCAGTGGTTTCGAATTCTAATCTCTTCATCTATTTCGTTTAATTCTTGTTTCTCTCTTTCATAAGATTTTATTTGATCATCTGTCAGATTCTGATTTGTTTCTAAATTATTAATATTAATTTTTAGTTGTTCGTGCTTTTCCCAATTTATATGTAGTTGTTTCCAGTTTTGTTTTAAGAATTTTGTATTATATGCTATTTCGTCGTTACAATTTACTTGTATTTTATTACTCATTTTAACAAATAATTAATTTTGATTTTTCTTCTTTAAGTGCGGTAAACATTAGTTCAATAAATCTTTCATTATTATAAATTTTTATCATTATGTTGTTTAACATAGATATTTCTATAGATGGGTTTAATTCTTTAGATTTTAAATTCATAATTCTACTTTGTAGGTATATTTTTTCTTCTGTAAGTTTGTTTAAAGATTCAAATATTTTTGTTAAATTTTTCCAGTAATGTTTTATCATTTTGGATGTATATTTATTGTTGTTATTACACAAGATTTGGGTTTTATTACTCATAATTAATTTTTTGAATCTTTTATAAATAAGATGACTCAGAAGATGATCCCTATAATCAAGAATCACCACAAACAATTCCAGAAACACGCAGAGACTTCTAGACAAGATAAAATAGCACAACAATGACATCACAGTATATGATCTAGAAGACATGATGAAAGCAGTGACGTACCTCCAATAATTCAGACAGCCACGCATACCTCAATAATTCAGACAGCCACGCATACCTCAATAATTCATGACGGCCGACAAGTCACTGTGTACTTTTTGAAAAAATTCGCCTAACTTTTATTGTAACAGTACTGTAGCATCTTTTTACTGTAGCATTACTGTAGCAGTTTGAATTTTTTTATAGTGGTAGGACCYGCAGTTACTTTTTTCGTGTATATATAGCCGATCGAATTCATTTGTAAATCATCCGACCCCGCATAAGCAATAATAATAAGCTTTCAGTTTCGCTATGAGTTTTTAAACTCTCTCCTTCTAGCTCCTTGATTTAGTTCTTCAATTCCTTCTTAGTTCTTCATATTATATCCCTTGCCTATTAAAAAAAAAAAACTTCCAAACCTCCAAGAAACACCCGCTGCAAATACAACTCTGGTGCTTCTAATTCTGCTTCCGCTCAAAACTCTCTGTAAGTCTTCTTCTTCTTTGTTATTTATTTTTACTTTAGTGGTTTAACGGAAACCCAAAAAATCCGTCATACCCCCCTGAAACAGTTTAAAAACTTTAGGAGATAATCCATACAATTTTACATTACAAATAAGAACTCATTCAGGGGGGTATGGCGGATTTTTTGGGTTTCCGTTAAACCACTAAAGTAAAAATAAATAACAAAGAAGAAGAAGACTTACAGAGAGTTTTGAGTGGAAGCATAATTAGAAGCACCAGAGTTGTATTTGCAACGGGTGTTTCTTGGAGGTTTGGAAGTTTTTTTTTTTAATAGGCAAGGGATATAATATGAAGAACTAAGAAGGAATTGAAGAACTAAATCAAGGAGCTAGAAGGAGAGAGTTTAAAAACTCATAGCGAAACTGAAAGCTTATTATTATTGCTTATGTGGGGGTCGGATGATTTACAAATGAATTCGATCGGCTATATATACACGAAAAAAGTAACTGCGGGTCCTACCACTATAAAAAAAATTCAAATTGCTACAGTAATGCTACAGTAAAAAGATGCTACAGTACTGTTACAGTAAAAGTTAGGCGAATTTTTTCAAAAAGTACACAGTGACTTGTCGGCTGTCATGAATTATTGAGGTATGTGTGGCTGTCTGAATTATTGGAGGTACGTCACTGCTTTCATCATGTCTTCTAGATCATATACTGTGATGTCATTGTTGTGCTATTTTATCTTGTCTAGAAGTCTCTGTGTGTTTCTGGAATTGTTTGTGGTGATTCTTTTATATATATATATATATATATATCTATATATATATATATATATATACATATATCTATATATATATAGATATAGAGGAGCGTTCAAATGAAAACCACTTCAATTTGTAAAAACCGTAAAAACTACTCTCATCCATCATTAATCTTATGAAATTTTTTCATGAAATTGTTAATCTTGTGAAATTGTTTCATATAATACTTTTTTTGATGAAGTTGTTTCATATGTGGTTATGAAATTGTTTAATATGCTACTTAATGAATTTTAATGAAACCGTTTCATGTATTTCTCTAAAATTAAAATAATGAAGATGATAATATCCATGATTAACACCCTCCACAATAAAAATGATTAATCAACCTCTCATAATTAAAAAATATGAACAAAATGAAATATTATGATTGGTTGAATGAGGTTTTTACGGTTTTTACAAATTAAGTGGTTTTTATTTGAACCCACCCCTATATATATATATATATATATATATATATATATTGAACCACTCTTGGTCATATTTTTGGCAGCTATCTGGTATTGGGTGTATTAGGATCTAGAGATATTTTGTGATGAACGTACATGTTTTTACTTTTCATTTTATTATTTCTCATTAAGAAATTATATTTCATCTTAAATGGATTACTAATTTCTAACAGAATAAATATCGTATCGTGCAATGCACGTATTATATACTAGGTTTTTTAAAGAACATGAGCGAAAAGGTAAAAAGACAAAAATGTCATTTGACTAATCAACGTTAGAACAACGGACCACTTTTTGACCTTATCCATTAACAATTATAACCGTCCAACCGCAATAACCGTCAATCTCGTTTTTCACAGCCTTTGGAAAATAGAGAAAAAATTGACGAATTATCCCTATACAAAATTCGTGAGTCCAAGACAAATAGGGTTGAATTATTATATTCAAAAAATGTTTCCGAATATAATTCTTGAGTTTTATCTTGTCCCTATATCTCATCCAAAAAATTGTTGTTTACTAAAAGTAATCTAATATATAATCATTTTCGAAATAGACATTAGACATATAAATTTTTTATCCAAATGAAGAAAATGAGGCCCGCTTCTAAAATGGCCAAATCTAAGGTTCCATCCATTGCCAATTTCTGTTTGTATCATAACGGTCCTGGTTTCCTTTTCCCCGCCAGTTCCAACTCTACAAAAACCCACTTATGAACCCCCTGATCAGATCATTTTGCCAAACCCGCCCATGCTTGCAATCCCTTTATCTCTTCAAGAGACTTCTCCACATTTCAGAACCCGAAATTTCTACGTTTCCTTCGATTCTTAATTCATGTTCTTCTCTGCCGTTCCCTGATGCTGGACTCGTGAATCATGGGTACTTGATCAAATGTGGTGGTTTTGGATGTTGTGTCAATGTTGGGAATGATTTTCTTTGGATGTATGTAAAGCTCGGTGAATTTCAGGATGCCTATAAGGTGTTCGAAGAAATGCCGGAAAGTAGTGGGGATGTGTTTGATAGCATAATACACTGGCTTAGACGTAATCGGACCTATGAGGATGTTGTGATTGCTTTTGAGAAGATGGTGGAATTCTGTGTCTTTCCAAGTGTACAGTCTGTTTGTCATGTAATTAGGGCTTACAGCGATTTGAACAGCATTGAAAAAGGGCATTTTGTACATGATTATGTGAAACAAAATGGGTTTGATGATCACGTTCTCGTAATGAATTTATTGATTTCAATGTATGTTAAAATGGGTAGGCTGGATCTTGCTCAACAAGTTTTTGACAAGGTGATTCATAAGGATATAGTCTCTTGGAACTCATTGTTTACGGGATACGCACAAAACAGGAACTGGCACAAAGTCTTTGACCTCTTTTTATGCTTAAGGCGAGCTGAGAATCTGGTTCCTAATGTTGTTACGTTCTTAGCTTTACTTTCGAGTGCTGGCCATGCTAGGGGAGTTGGTATTGGGATGAGCATTCATGGGCACTTGATCTGTATGGGTTTATATCTTGATGTCCAACTAGGAACTGCTATTTTTGATATGTATGCAAAATGCGAAAGACTTGATTACGCCCAAATTGTATTCGAACAAGATTTGATAAACAAGACTTTGGTGTCTTGGAACGCGCTAATTGCAATGTATAAACAAAAAGGTTATAGCCAGGAGGCAGCAGATGTTTATGAATGGCTAGTGATGGAACCTAATGTTAAACCAGATTCTTTCTCATTTGCTAATGTACTTCCTGCTTATGCAAATCTGGGAAATATTCAAAGAATCAAATCAATCCATTCAATGATTGTCAAGAGGGCTCTAGACATGGAAGGAGACATCGTTTTGGCTACTTCAATGTTGGATGCATATGGGAAGTGTTCAGATGTGAAAGCATCTGAATTGTTGTTTGCTTGTATTCACCACCCGAATACTGCAACATGGAATGCATTAATTTCTGTATATAATCTGAATAACCAGATTGAAAAGGGGATGATTATTTTTCGTGAAATGGTTCGTTGTAAAGTGTTGCTAGATCCTATAACTATGGTGGCACTCTTTCAATCGTGTGGACAAATGGATTCTCTAAAACAAGGTAATATGATCCATGGGCTTGGTCTTTCAAAAGGATTTTCTTCACATCTTATGGTAGGGAACGCCTTGATAGATATGTATATGAGATGTGGATGCACCAAAAGTGCTGAAGTGTTTTTCCATTCAATGCCTAGAGAGAATATAGTGACTTGGAATACCATGATTTGTGGTTATATGAAAGCTGGATGTTCTTCTGCAGGTCTTGGACTCTTTCATCAAATGCAGTCGGAAAAAGGGTACAAGCCAGATTCTGTAACAATTATTTCTTTACTTCGGGGATCTTTAGCTATCTCAGCTGGTTATGTTGAGTTATTTCATGGTTACATATTGAAACTTGGGCTCGCTTCTGAGACACTTGTTATGAATACTTTGATTGATTCATTTGCAAAGATTGGCATTATAGAGAAAGCTAGAGCCTTGTTTACACAAAACGATTTCAGGAAAGATCAAAGCTCTTGGAACATAATGATTGCAGGATATGGAATGAACGGTCAAGGGAGCGAATCTAGTAAACTTTTCGCTCAAATGCAGGAAAATGGATATGTACCAGATTCTATCACATTCACCTCTCTTCTCTCATCTTGCAGCCATTGTGGGCTTATTGAAGATGGATGTAAATTCTTTGACCTCATGATTACCAAACACAAGATTCAACCAACCATGGAGCACTGGACTTGCATTATAGACATGTTAGGACGGGCCAACGGTTTGGAAGAAGCGTATGATGTGATCAGAAGTGGGACTTATCAGAACTCCAGCAAATGCGTCCCATTGGACAGCATTGCCGTTTGGGGAGCTCTTCTTAGTGCATGTAGAACTAACATGAACATGAAGCTTGGGGAGCTTGCAGGACAGAAATTGTCCAAAATGGAGTCTCATTGTTTGTATCACTCATTGCTCTCAAATTTGTACTCATCAAACAAGAAATGGGGTGAAGCCACAGAAATCAGGAGAGTTTTTGAAGATCGAAAAGGGATGAAGAAGCCGGGGTTAAGCAGTTTGAAGAGTTGATGAATTAAGATTTCATAGAAATGATCACTACCATTCAAAAAAGGGTAGACACCACCCACTGGAGGTCCCCTACCACACCAGTCCCACGGCCATCAAGTCAACAGTAGATCGTGGTGCTCGTTCCCTTTATCACTTTATGGATGCCCGTAAGTCCAGAATCAACGCATAAAAAAACCAACATACGGTCTTCATCAGAGTTCACAAGTAAGCAAAGAATATTAGGCTTAATTTTACTATGGTTTTTCCTTATTATGTTGGATGTTTAAATCTTGGTCTTAGTTCTTAAAATTCACAAATTTCAAATTTCGAAAATAAACTATGCACCCATATGGAATATATCCACATATTGCTTCCAACATACCCAAATAATTTCCATAGCAAGTTATGAATATTTTGTAGTTTATATAAAACAGACAATAAGGTCAGTACTGTTGAAATTTTAAATTAATTAGTTGGTATAGTTTATAAAATGCTATTAATTGGAGTTGGACGGCCAATTACTGTACTATAAAATTAAGCAAAATGTCAAACAACATTTTGAAATAAGTTAAAAATATTCTCTCTTAAATAACTATTGAAATAATTCTATTTTCTTTAATCTTTGTGTATATTTTTTAGGGTTGTTTACCGGTTATATTGGCTTATTTCGGTGTGGTATCGGGAATAAGCAGTTTTTAGTGTTTTGATGGTGAAAGAAATGCTTATACCAGTGTCAAACCGGTAATATAAGGAGTTTTTTATAAGTTAGTTCGTTCTAGCTTATTACATTCAACTTATTAGCTGTGGAAACCATTTTACCTTTTAACCCTAAACCTAAATTACATTCTCATTAGATACGTACGCCCTACAGAAATCAACAGAATTCAATCGAAACTTTTACCTACAGAAATCGAAATTGAACCTTCACCTATAGAAATCGAAATCGACCGGTTCATCAACAGAAATCGAATCAACCTTCACCTACATAAATCGAAACGAACACAGTTCCTCCTTCCCCATGAAGCGATCTTCAACCAGTTCCTACAGAAATCGAAATCGACAGTTCTTCCTCACGTAGGCGACCTTTGAACATAGTTCCTCCTTTCTCATGTCCTTTTTGGTCATTTTACATGTATAAGCAAAATTTGTCAAACACTAAAAAATGATTTGTCAACTTATTACGTTTTGGTACCGCCATAAGCTAATTTAAACACTTTTTATAAAACTCCGGTTCGACACCATATAAGTTGATAAGTACTTTTACAAAAAAAAAAAAAAAAAACATAAGTTGTTGTAAAATAAGCAATCTCAAACACTCTCTTTAAACTGATCTCCACAACTCAATAACTTGTAATTCGGAATTTGATCTTAAGCATCTTCAACAGATTTTCTAAAATGGAGAATCAAAATTCAAAATCTCCAAAAAATATTATATTCAATTCCTACTGTTTCTCCATTTTATAGATTACAACATTCATTATATTATTAAAATATTACATACATTTAATAAAATATTATTTCTCTCATCTAAACATTTAATTTCAAGATTTCTTACTGGTGAAATATAACAAAAAAATGTCTCTCTCATGGTAATCATTTTTGGGGATTTCTCCAAATTTAGAGATTTTTGCATCTTCTCTCCTGCTTTTTTTTATTTTGGAGAAAATTTTGGGTAATTTGTTGAATCAGAAGATCACTCGATCTATCTATTTTTTCCATTTTGAAGAATCTATTAGAAATGCTAGATAGTCAACATGATACATACAAGCTATGCTTCCCATATTCAAAGGGAGGTGGATTGATATATTTTTTTTTATCATTCAACGTTTTAATCAAACAATTATTTTAATCAATGTTTGATATAGACCGAAGGTTAAATAATTATTTCTGATATTCAAACAGTTTATCCAGTACAATAATCAAAGAATAATTTAATCTAAAACTATGTATACAACTTGATTAATATAGACAATCTAATCTATGAAGGAGTTGATAGAAAAAACCAACCAAACAGTTATAGACCTCCTTGTACTGAATCCTATGCAAAAATGGGTTTCCTATTGTATTCGAACTTTTAAGCTTACGAAATACGCAGCACAACCAGCGGTAGCCTAAACCTAAGGGATTGTTTGTTTACCTCTTAATAGTTTCATTAAGATAGAGTCTCTGAATCATTAAGAGGTGAATCATGTTTGGTAACAAAAAAAGTCTGTCTCTGACCACTTAATCATTCAACGTCAAACCATTTAGCAATTGTTAAACAACCCCTAACTTAAAGATGCAAGTTTCACCATGAGTAAGGCGATTACTTTAGATTTAAAAAAAATATATATTAATTCCTTAAATGTCTTATTCGGTTACCATATGTAACTGACTACATATTTTAGGAATAATTCGTTTTAAAAAAAATATTAATTCATTAATAAATGAACCATTTATAATCCAAATTCATAACTGTAATACAAGAACCATTAATAACTGTAATACAAAAACAATTCATAATCATTCATAACCGTATACAAACATTCACCACCTTTTCATATATGGAATAATATGAAAAATAACCAACATATGAAAAAAGCATATACATAAATGATCTATATACAAAAATTCATCATTTTTTCATATATGAAACCATATACAAGAATGATCCATACATAAAAACTTCATATATAAGAATTATCCATATACAAAAATTCATATCTTTTTTCATATATGAAACAATTTGAAAAAACGATCCACGTATGAAAAAAGCGTATAGAAAAATGATTCATGTACAAAAATTCATTATTTTTTCATATATGAAATCATATACAAGAATGATCCACATGAAAACTTCATATACAAGAATGATCCATATACATAATTTCATCGCTTTTTCATTAATGAAATAATATGAAAAATGATCCACATATGAAAAAAATTTATTACCTTTTCATGTTTGTCACTTTTTCACAAACGAAATCATATGATCTCAGGGATGAAAGCTTCCGACTATTTATGTTCTCGGACCACCCATGCACTAATGTCGGCTTCACCGTACTCCTAGCGTCATTTAATAAACAGAGTGTGTGTGTGTGAGAGAGAGAGAGAGAGTAAGAGAGAGAGAGAGAGAAATATGGATGGATATTATCCAGATCGAGTGAGATGCAGATGACATGTGGTTGTGGGTTTACCCGCGATGGCTAGATAGAGAGAGAGAAAAGGGGGGGGGGGTTGAGAAATTATGGAACTAATTATGGTTTCCAATTTTAAATAAATATTAAAATATATTCCAAAATCACCCTTTCCCTAATTTTTTAAATCAATTAAAGTTTCAGAAAATTCTCAACCGTTGATCAAGAGAATAGAAGGTCAAGATTGGGTTGTAACGGTTGTACCCTTTAATTTGGTTGTATTTGAAGACACCACTACAAAAATTTATCATGCACAATTAAAATAAGAAACATGTTAGGGATTATGTTTTTAGGAGAAGATAACAAGACTTGATAAAACTCAAGAATCGTATAGGAAAACACTTATCAAATACAACAATTCGACCCTATTGTACAAATCACCCTCATTCGTCGATTTCATTATTTAATCTTATGAAATTTTTTCATGAAATTGTTTAATCTTGTTAAATTGTTTCATATAATATTGTTTTTGATGAATTTGTTTCATATATGGTTATGAAATTGTTTAATATAATATTTAACGAAATTTTAAATGAAATTGTTTCATGTATTTATCTAAAATTAAAATAATGAAGATGACAATATCCATGAACGTGAAACTGGTTCATGTTGCAAATAAATTAGGTGAACCAAAACATTTTTATGGTGAAACCGTTGCATTGATGGTGTAGTTGATTCATTTTGTTGATGAAAAGGAAAATGAAACAGGTGCATTTTGAAAATAAATTATGAAAAGGAAAATGAAACATGTTTCATGAACGTGAAACCGGGTCCTGTTGCAAATAAATTATGTGAACCGAAACATTTTCATGGTGAAACCAATTTCGTTCATATAATGTAATTCAAAATTTAAAGCGATTCAATCCATATAATTGAATATGGTGTTATATTCAAAAAAAATTTTGATATGTTTTATTGATGGATGTGATTTAAAGTTAAAAATAATATATTGCTTTAAAAAATGAAAATAGTGTCATTAATATCTAGAAGGATGTTACCAAATGTTAAATTTTGTTTACCATTTTTGCTCTTACTGTTGAAATAAAATAAAATTTTAATATATATATATATATTTAATTTCCTAAAATAAAGTAAACTAATCATGACCATTGATCAAAAAAATAAATGGATGAGATTGCTTTACATGATTTACATAAATGAAGCAGGTTTTTATTTGAACGCTTCTCCCTCTCGATAAAACTTAGAAAAGCCCCAAGAATATGTTTATTCTTTGTTCTACAAATGCATATATACATCCATATCAAAACAATTCCAGTTTTAAAGGCATAAAATAACAATTTACACTTGTACATGCATCAAAAACACGTCAATGCATCATAACCTTTGTTTGTCCATAGTGAAGAAGAGACAAATATCCACTTGTGTTGACACTTTCCACTACCAAACAAACCATTTTTTTCGACGGCAGAATCCGTCGGAAACAGTAAATTTCGGCGGATTCTGCCGCCAGAAAAAGTTGTGCCGGTGAATTTTTTTTGACGGAATCAACAGCGGATTTTGCCATTTTCCGGCGGATCACGGCCACCGGAAATTTCTTGCCGGTTTTTTTTTATAAAATCATGATTAAGTTAAGAAAATATTTAAGCGTTTTTAAAAAAAATTAATTTACCGGCGGAAATTTCTGCCGGAAACTTTTCTCGACGGAAAAATAAAATTCTTTTTGAAATAATATATCTTTAAATTTAAAAATTTACCCGCGGATTGAAATTCGCCGGAAAAATATATAAATATTAATTTTAGATTTATTTTAAAAAATATATTTTTATATTTGAAAAAGTACCGGCGGAAAAATCCGTCGGAAATCCGTCGGAAAAGCATATAAATATTAATTTTATTTTTTTAAATTAATATTTAAAATCTATAAATCTGTACTATATTAAAAAAGAAACTAAAAATGCGAAATAGAACTAAATATCATACATTAATGTAAACGACAATTATTACAACTAAACAAAAACTAAATTGTTATAAACAAAAACTAAATTGTTTCAAACAAAAAGACAATATTCAATATGGTGGCGGGGGGAATGTTGAGATTGACTGAGCTGTCTAACCAAATCAGCCATATCTTGAAGTTGTTTATCATGTTGCTCCTCCCTCTGTCGCTGTCGCTCCGCCTCTACCCGATGTCGCTCCTCCTCCGCCAAACGGCGCTCCTCCGCCAAAAGTCGATCCTCCGCCAACCACCATCGCTCCTCCTCCACCATCCGTTGGCGCTGACTTTGTTCCKGTAAGTCTCTAAGTTGGGTCCTTAAGGTTTGAATTTCCTATAAAATAAATAAAACGCTATAATATTTAATATGAATTACAAACTAAGTCGATAAACATCATCAAAGGAAAAAAGACACATACGTGCTTATCTGAAGACGATGAACCACCTTCCGCGTAGTTCCTTGTCAAGACACAATCGGGATTTTGGTTGTACCCAAACCCAAATAAATGGTCTTTCTTGCTTCCCCCAACCGCTTGCTCCCACAACTCTTTTTCAACTAAGGGATAGGTGGATGGATCATCGCCGTATCTTTGGCTGAGACGAGTTGAATAGTCATCCTATATATGGTTTAAAAAAGATTGCAAGTCAATTTTGACAGCATAACGGCTGTAAATGAGACGTTTCCAAAATAATCCTAATGTTTGCACAATAAATGGCAACCCAAACTAAATAATGACATATACGTAATTTCTAACTTAAACAATCCTAATGTTTGCCCAACAAATGGCAACCCAAACTAAATAATGATATATATATATTATATATTTATATATATATATATATACACGTAATTTCTAACTTAAACAATCCTAACGTTTGCCCAACAAATGGCAACCCAAACTAAATAATGATATATACTTAAAATCTAACTTAAACAATCATAATGTTTGCCCAACAAATGGCAACCCAAACTAAATAATGATATATACTTAAAATCTAACTTAAACAATCCTAATGTTTGCCCAACAAATGACAACCCAAACTAAATAATGATACATACATATATATATATATATATACATATATATATACATATATATATATATATACACGTAATTTCTAACTTAACAAATTATAATGTTTGCCCAACAAATGGCAACCCAATTATAATAGATAAATATACTTACCATGACTTGGCTACACTTTGTGGTCACGTACCCCCCCCGGAATCCCTTAGATGCGGCATCTCCACTCGGCCTCTTCTTGTGTGTGTAATCAAACAATTCCACAACGGTCAGAAGCACGCCATCTTTTGCTCGTGTCTACAAAGGTCAAATAATACAAACATGTGTTAATTATAACATATTAAAAATCAAGCTACTAAATTAATGGGTTTTAGGTTCTACCAGACGAGCACCATGCTTCGAAAATGGTATCGATCCACCGGTGTGTAGCGCAATGTGGCTATCACGGTTCTCACGTGCCACACCGGAAACAGCCTTCCAACTATCATTGTTCCAACGATCGACCATCTGGATCCACACATCTGAAGATATCCAGCCGGGGGGGGGGGAATTCTTTAACACACTCATATCCCGGTGGGGTCCGTTTCATCGTACTGAGGATACCCATTCATCCTTGCTTTTTCCTCAGCTTTCTTCCTCGCAGCACTCATGTTATCATTATACGGCTGGTCGACTTTCTCTCCCATATCTCCAGGATCTGGTCGTCCAAAGCCGGATCCTAAGTATAATAGCCCTGTACGTAAAAGTTTAGGCGATTCTTAGGTTTAAAACAATACATAAAATATAATAAGTTGAATATATAACACAAACCTGGAACCGCTCCCACATTCGGCGTCTTACGTCCTTTGAGATTTTTTCCCAACTGATCCATGGGCCGTCAAGCAGCTCTCGGTTGATCTTGGTGATCTGACGGATCACTTTGGTGTGACTAAGACTATATAATTACGAATTGAATTAGCATCAATACAAAAAATATATTTTTATCAATTAAAAGATGTAAATGTATTTACTCTTTGCCGCGGATGCCAATAACCGTCCGCTGTTGTGGAAGCGGCTCCGGAGCAGCACTACCACGACCAGACTCAATCTCCTCCGGGTGTGCCGAAGCAGTACTAGAGCCTCTACCTGTACCATGGCTAAGGTGTACTGCCACTAGCTCGACCGGTAATCCGAGTAGGTACTTAATTCAAAAACAGTACTATGGATAACTTTCTTGAGGACAAGGGAATCTCTCACAACTTCTCTTCTGTGAGAACTCCTCAGTAGAATGGGGTTGCTGAAAGAAGAAATCGAACAATCATTGAGGCTGCTCGATCAATGCTCAGCGAATCCCATCTCCCTACTCAATTCTGGGCTGAAGTTGTCAACACCGCTTGTTTCACTCAAAACCGATCGCTGATCGTCAATAGATTCAAGAAGACGGCCTATAAACTCTTCCATGGACGAAAGCCATCCATAAGCTTTCTTCATATATTTGGTTGTACTTGTTACATTCTCAACAACCRCGACCAACTTGGAAAGTTCGATCCCAAAGCTGATGAAGGAATCTTTCTTGGATATTCTTCTGTATCCAAAGCCTTCA